ATTCTCCAGGTAAAACCAGGCTGTAGAGCATGACCAATTCTCAACTTTCCAAAACAAAGTGTAGGATCCAATTCTGTATTCATTTCAGTAAACCAAATCTTTCCCAATGCTTATCAGTCTAGTTATCAGGACTAACTGTGAGACAGTTTTAAACTAATTAGGCATTACACAATGCCTTCCCCATTCTTCTAAGTCAGGCAGACACACAACAGAAAACAAAATTACATCCTCCCTTTGCTCCAGTTCCAAAACTTATCTCCTCTCCTTTGCAGTTAGTTGAATTTAGCATGCAGAATTACCCTCTTAGTTCCACAGAAACTGAATCTAACAAGCATGGGTTTTTCCCCCCAAAATGACACTATATTGCTTACAGTTATCAATACTAACTACTGTTGTATTAACCTAATATTCTTTAGCATTCTTTGCATTAAACAGAAAAGCAAATTGCCAAACATCTCAATACTTCAGCGATTCTTACAAGCACCAAATCACTCTTCAAAATTTTACTAGCATGATTATGAACAGTGTACTGTCAAGCTACAGAATTCACCAGATGTTTCAAACACACAATAAGACACATCAAACACAGCTATAACTTGTATCTTTAGGGATCCAGGACAAATCCTTCAGCAGATAAATTCCACTGACAGGAACTTTGCACCACATTGACCCATCAAATCTGTACCCATGTTTTGCAGCAAACTGCATGGAGAGTTTTCCTTCCCTGCTAGGTCTGTCCTGCTCAGATTTTAATACCATATTTGCCAGTGGATGAAAAGATTGTAACATTAGTGTGGAACAGAAATCATAGTGACTGAAAAAGCTTAGCATGTAGGAATTGCACACTACCATGTATAGTGCATTAGTTCATAAAAGAATAGGTATGTTAATAAAAGAAGCCTAACAAAAAAGTATTTGCCTGCAGAGCAGACAGAAAGCCACTCCAGTGAGATCTTCTGTCCTGTTGACCACTTTTACAGTTGTATATTTTTTCATGGTCTCATAGTAGCCCCTTTGCATTCCAATGCACCTGTGTAAGCTTACTAACAAGGAAGTGGAGATCTATTGATCCCTGCTTTTTCCAAAAATATGGTACCAAAAATAAAAAGTATTATAACTCAGAGAAGTCCAAAAAATAGCTTCTTGTGCCCCTGAATAATAGAAATCCAGCCCAGTGTACCTCTGTTCTTTGTTAGGACATATATCAGATACAAAACTGCATCACTTGGAAAGGATAACTATTTTGAGCTGACTGCAAAGAGGTTCTTTTATCATATCTAAATCATAAGACACAATAGATGTCTCTCAGGTAGGAGATGGGGCAGATTTTGCCATTCAGCTTCTATTCACAGAGGTTTTGGGTTCTCTAATGTTGAAAAAACATCAGGACAACCAATAAGAGATTCCAGGCAGATTCTCTTGTAAGCTGGATGTTGAACACCCCAGCAGCTGACTTGGTTTAAAAAAAAAAAAAATTACTGCATCTGTCAGCATTTTATCAGGTGCTGTAGCAATTGCCCCAGTTCTGGATCACCAATGAGAAAAAAAAGTGGCTGTTAACAGCCAAGCCAGAGACAAGAAAGGAACAAAAGGGTGATGCCTGTTCTGCGGCCTGGCTCCACGGAAAGCTGGGGAGAGCATGTGCCATAAATCCAGTAAGCATCTTTTATCAAAAGCTTGAAGAGTGAAAAACAGGGCAGCATTTCCCTGCCATGTAGCACAACTCTGGCCACCTTGTTACCTGCCAATAGCAAATAAACACATTTTGTTCTGTGATATAAGAAATGTATATATATACACACAGACAGGTCTGATTGCTGAGTCCTTAGTGTCTTGAAAGAGACAACACCTACCTCTCATTTCAGGCAGTACAAAGGCTCAGTTGAGCACTAGGGAAATCCACGTGAACACAGTTCGTATTTCCACTGGTATCTCTACAATCATACAAGCTAGAAACTTGTGTTTTCAAAAGGCAAGGCAAAGTTACCAGAGAACAGTGACACTCTGAAATCTTGGAGGATTTTGACCTACTGTTGAGAAACCCTGACCTTACCATGTTGTTTGGCATTTAACTAAATGAACTGTACAATCCCAGTATAATGTTTAAAGTCCTTTACTGAGAGCTTTAATGCGTGCATATGGCTCGACAGACAAAAACATATGTAACATGAAAATGGGGTGGGGGAGGTGGGGGGGGAGACAAAAAAGTGCATCTGTACTTCAAGAACCAATGTGGCAGGTTGCTTGAGATGGTAATGATGCAGCTTATAGAGCAATGCCCGGTTTACTGAGATGACCTCTGAGAACTTTCAAAGGCATAATATAAAATTAGATTATTATTCCCATAAAAATTAAAGGCATTTTGTATTCCTCAGCAGCAGAGTCTCTGCTGGCTTCTGATAGGAAGCACATAGTTACAATGACAGAATAACAACACACTGCAGATGATGATTAAGACAGACAGGACACGACATGTTACCCAGAGGAAGCTTCCAGTTATGTTTCGGAGACCCAGTAACATGTCAAATGTAATAAACTAAATTACCTGAAACAAATCACTCTAATTTCATCTTTTTAGATCATTATATCTGTTTCCCTACAACGTATCCTAGTGTCACTCACGAGACATAAACCTATATGGGACAAACTTATATTAATTCTACACTTACAAATACATAAGGTATTCAGTAAGCATTGCATCAGATCTAATGTTTTTGCTAGGCATATAAAACTAGTGCACAAGTAATTAGTGCCGATTTTTACATAGATTTTCAGTTCCAAATAACTGCTTAAGAAAAATCTCAGTTATGCAGAAGTTGTACTCTACTGTATTTTCCATGCAGTTGTGTCTCTGCTATACTATGAATCCTAAGGTCATCTCATGGACTAAAGGGGAACCACTCCCTTAAGTGGGATGCATTTTGGCCTACCAAAAGGATCAACTTTGAAGAGGGAACCCTAGCTCTTTCAGAGCCTGAAACCAGTTTTAAGCAATGGTCTATCATTCATGCACTCAGGCTTCCACATCAGCATCCATACACTGGGGAAGGTCAATGTCAAGAATAAGTGAATGATCTGGGGCGCTCAGAATCCCACGTTCAGAAAGCAACAACTATACTGCGCTGCAGGTTCCACCCATCGTTCCCAAGTTACTGAAAGTTTTGCCTCCGATTCATAGCTGGAGGTTTTCTTAATGTTTAGCTGCTCAAACTGAAACAAAAATCTTAAAGTAGGCACAATTGGCAGCATTTTGTTTTAATGCTAGCCAAGTGATCTGTCTTTTAAAAGGCTAAAACGATGTTGTGGCATTCTCTGGGGACTTAAAAGAACTTTTAGTTCCCACAAAGGCATTTATTCACTGATAATAAGCAGAACTCCACCATCACTACCTTCTACACATTGGTACGTCTGTGCTTCTGTTCAGAAGGACCTGTGAGCTAGTAAAGCTACAACAAGCTTCAGGAGAGAAAAAAAAAATTGATTTGTTTTCTTGCTTAGCTGCAACACATTTATACCCCAGCTTTCAAAATACTTCTTGCTTGAAATGCAAATCAGAATAATCAAGTGCAATTGAAGTTTTAGTTCAACAGTTTTGGGGTTTTTTTAAGCTGAAACAGTCGCAAACTCCAGTTTACTAAATCAGCTTCAGGTAAGGCTTTGTTTCTCCATGACATTTCTATGTCATTAAAATCCCAGTGGAGGGAAAGGAAAGTCAGGAAAAACAGCAGAAAATGTCAAAAATGTTAAGTAGTACAACTTTCATAATCAGGAAACAGACATTTTTGTAAGACAAAATTCTTCTTTAGCCAGCCTTTCTAAAGATTCTTCCAAATAACTTTACGTTACCTTCCCTAATAGGTATTAGCTGGAATTACTCTATGTAACCATCACTCTCCCATCAACCTACACACTTCTGAAGGATTTCAGAGACTACTGCATTTGACAACAAACATGCTACAAAACTATAATCAATTACCAGCTATTTAAAAAATAATCAGTAGGACAGCTATTGCAATCAAAATATAGCAGGGTGTGCTTTAAAGCTTATGTGTGGGTGTCATCAGCAGAAGCTCAAGAATTTTGTTAGCAGCATATTTAGAGATACTGCTTCCCAATGCATGGTAAGCCCTTGCATACCTACATAACCATCTGGCTGGCAAGGAAGTGGCTGTTTGGAGACCAGATACCAGTTCAGCTTTCTCAAAGTTACTTAGTGATATCATCCCTTAGAAATCAGATGTGACACATCTATCAACTTTATGATCACATCTAAAACAGACTTTCCAGTGACCAACAGCAAAATTAGCAAAACCTCATCTGACCTCAGGCAAAGTCTCTGGGGCAGAAAAAGATTTCAACCATGATACTTACATATTCCAGTCATCACATTATTATTCCTACTACTTTTATTGTAAATAAAATAATTTTAGCCAACTAGCCAAAACCAGGTTCTTCTCTCTTTCTGCAATGACACAGTGAGGACCTCTCCTGACAGTCTAGATGTCACTTGATAGTGAAGAAGGATTAAACCCCTGTATAGGGACAGCAAGCAGAGCTCAAGAAGACTCCCTGCCCACAGCTACATCTCACTACTGAATAGTGCAGTGTGTGTTACCTGGAAATAACCTGCGACCTGCTAGTGAAGCACCGCAAACACTTTACCTGCATGTTCAATAGCGTCACTGCCAACCAGAGAAGTAGAAGGACCTCACACAGGTTGGCATTTGGTTGATTGTCACGGGTTACATCGATAAAAAGTTAAGAATAGCATCTCATTTCCCATTAGATGCTGATGTCACTTAAGGATAGCATGAACACCAAACATGACCTTGCTGATTTTTACTTCTTTCAATCATCCAGTAAACAAAAGAAGGTTTAATCAGGTTTGGGTTTGGGGGTTTTTTTTTGTTGTTTTTGTGTTGTTTTTTTTAAGAGGAAAATACTCATTAAATATGTACTCAAATTATTTGTGCATTCTTCTTCAATCTAAAGTGAAATACCTTTTGCAACATGCTGGCCATTTAATTGTCAATTCTTCATGTCCCCTTCAGTTACTTACCTAAAAGAAAAGAAAAAAAATACATTAATTTCCCACATTCTCAAATCCATTATGAATACATACCTTGCTCTCCACTGCTCCCCAGCAAGTTTTCAGTAAGTTAGGTAAGACTATTAGTGTAATGGGTTTGGTTTATATTATTAGTTTAGATCACACGTTTCCACTTTTTTTTTTTTGCTTCAGCTAAGCATTCAGTAATTGAATTTAATTATTTTTTTTCTTATTGTTGCTTTTTTCCTTCCCAGTAAATGATTTCTAAGTAAAAGCTACTTTGATGCCCTCAATTTGATTTCCACATTCTGTGTATTTACTCTGGGAAAAAAAAGTCATAATTGCAGTCGCAGTAATGGAAATATAAAACATTCAGCAAAAGTACCCCAAGGTGGTCTTCAGTACAGAAATTGGTGCAGACATTTGTGCAAGTTCTTAACAGCTACTAGCAAGAAAACATATTTTGAGCAGACAGAGCACAGGACAGCTAACCATAAGACTCTAGTTGACAGACTAGTTTTATAAATGCAGGTACAGCTTTCCCACCAATCTCAATGGGATCCATATTTTAACCACTAAGTTTCTTTTCAGTTCTGTCATTAGTCTCTCATGGCTTTAGAAATTAAACAATAGCATATAACAGTAGGTACCACCGCCTATCTGAGTAACTAGTTACTACTGAAAAAGTAAGAAAAAAGCTTGCTGTCAACAATTCTTGCCTCTTCACTTATTCACTACTCAATGATTTCATCCTCCTTACTGGCCCTCCCTTTTCCTCCCAAGCCATCAAAATAATTTCAGAAGTTGGTGCTCTTTTCTTGCTCTTACCATGCTTCATTTTAGGAAAGAATGATTGTATTCAGGGCTTTTCCCTCCCAAACTTCAAATTCTTAATGATAACGGTGTCAAAACCCAGAAATAGCCCAAATTTGTAATTCCTAAGTGACTAAGTTGAAGTCATCACAAGGGATTGGAATTGTACTTCATGTTTGCCCAAATGATAAAAGAAATCCATTCTGCAGTCCTGTCATTCCCTACACTGTACAGAAACAGTTTTAGTTAGTTACAACATTAACTGCTGTCCTAAAGCACTTTTAGAAATGACCGCAAATTAAAGCACAACTTCTGTGACAGAATAGACAGTTTTTGAAAAGTACTTGGCAACACTAGCAAGCAATATATAACAGCCATGATAAAGATAGACAGACCAGCACACATGATTTACCAAGCAGGAATCTCACTAGGCTCCTGCCTCCAACAAGTCAAAATGGCGAGTTGGTTTGCAAACTCATAAACCTGGGTGTGGTATGAAAGGGCATGAATTTTTTTAAGTTTTTGTTTGCTTCCTTGCTTTACGAGGGTCATGTCTTTCAGGCTTTTTGCTTAAGGGAAAAGAACTAAAAATGTATCTGAAAATCAAAACCTGAAACAGTCACGTAAGCATATGTTCTTGGGAGGAAGATCTGTAATGGTTTTACCAATTGTTAGGTGAAATCCCAGCAAAGCAAAGACTATTGGCACTACTAAATTCAAGTTTCATCTGGAAGATACTGGAGCAACTGTACGTATAAGCCCCCAAAACCAGTAACAGTTCTACACCCTCCAGTCAGGATCAGCGAGAACAGCCTATACAAAACAAGCTCACAGTTCTGTTCCACAGAAACATGGTTTTCTATTTCATTATGCACTACATCTGTTTTCAACAGAACCTTTCCAAAGCAGCCCTTCAAATCAGGCAGGCATGAGTTCAGAACCTCCTAGAGGTCCCGTCCTCCCCTTCTCACCCAGAAGCAGTTGCCTGGAGCCTGAGCACCCAGATGAGAAAAACCTCCGGTGCAGCCTGGAACCAACCTGCAGGTGCCCAGCACCACTATGCAGGCAGAAGCATCTTTGCTTAAAACTAGGTGACAGCACCTGTTTTCCTCCATAACCCATACAAGGGGACTGGGCAACAACCACAGGTGTCAACACCTGCACATGTCAAAGGAATCTCAACTCCTATTTCTCCTATGCACACATCATCCGTCACTCTTCTATGATTGAATTGCATTTATTATTACTTCCTTTCTATACTCAAACTGAAAATAATTTTAAAAGTTTACAATACATACTATAGAAGATATGACTGTCTTAGATGATCCTTAAACTACCCAAAATATATCCTTATAAGCACTGAATCTGAAAAGAAAAATATTTTATATTGCATCCACACCACCACTTTTGCCATACGCTGGCTTTTCAGACATTTTCTTAACCAATATCACAAGTTGAAAGTTATAAGAGACATAGGTGAAACCCACAACAAATAAATAGCTTTCGTATTTGGTCAAAAACTTATCTGAATTTCTTGTAATCATAACCCCATACTTCCCAGCATTAGATGCTTGTCCAAGCTTTCTGAAAAATTTCAGGTAGAAATTTCACTTTTTCACATAATGTGCTCACACCAAAGGGAGTGTACAGGCTCAACATTATTCTGCCTGTACTCAACTAAGTTTATTTTAGACTGAATTTTAATTCACTGCCAAATTCAGACATCTACTGCACAAGTTCTGCTGCTTCCACCTCCTGTCAGCCTACTCTGTGATGCCTCTGAATGAACACTTTTTTTTTTCCTGGCAGAACTCATTTTATCATCCTCTTTCAAAGCAGAAAATTTTGATCCTCTAGTCCATATGCATGCACATGTTTAGTCTTAGTGCTTAACTACAGCATGTACTTGCTGGATTTAAAATGTACTACTATATACTTTTGTCCTTAAAATGACAGCTCAATGTATTATTGCCATCTGACTAGAGCCACCTGATAAAATGTGCCAGTTTTTAGGTTTGGTTCATTTTCTCCCCACCCCTTTTCCCTTTAAGAGGAAGTATGGTTCTCAAGTTTAGCGAGAAAACAAATTAATCCTGTTTATCACAGGCACTCTCATTGCTAGTTCTCCTTCAGTTGTTTGCAATGATTACCCACATACCTGTTCCACAGGTAATTTTGAGTGATAACAAAAACTTGAGTGACTTTTTTGCAGTTTAAAAACTTGGGAGGGCCCCACGCAAAAAAGACACATTAAAATTCAAGTACTATGCCTAAAGCTTATTTCTGTGGAAAAGTATCTTTGCCCTTTGCCATTCAGCAAGCATTACACCGATTCAATTGCCTGGGGCTTATACCAGAACGGTTGAAATCAAGACAAGCACCCCTTGTGCATTAAGAGTAATCGTCAAGAATGCATATAGTGCACATACTTCAGCTGTCCTTTGCCCACTTTAGCTGCAGATCACAAGCATTCCACTCAAATGAGGTGTACATTTCTCTTTTATCAGTGAAAAGTAGTTATGCGGGAAACAACGATCAGACAGACTCCAAATGAGGTGACTCAGCCACAGATAATGAATCCCATACCATTTCTTTCATGTAATGTCCTTCATTTTGCACCTTCGCAACCCAAGGCATCGAAGCCTGTACTGATTCAGGAATCCTTTAGTGCAGATACTGGACATAAGCTGTTAGACTTAGTTTGGCATCTCAACCACTTCCTTCAGGGAACACCAAGCCAAGGTCAAGCTGATGGCATGCTTACTTGAGGTCAGCTGTCACTTACTGCTCCTAGATTTTTCTATCTCAGCTATTCCCAGGTTTTGCAATTGTCACTACTTCCAGTTGACAACAATAGCTAAAGAGTTTGACTTGTGGAAGTAACCCAATTCTGTGCACTTAAGCACATGATTAAATGGGACATAGACATGGTTTGAACCTCTACTTGTTCAAGAAAGCGGTTAAGCAGATGCTTGACCAACAAAGTTCTGAAAATTTGTTGTGTGCTTTACCCCACAGAAGAACCACCTCTCTAACTCAGCTGCTGCCAAAGCATGCAGTAGATCTCCACAGATTTGTTTCAAGAACACTTAAAAAGTCTTGAAGAGTATGCTCCTTCCCAAGACCACTCCCCACTACCGCCAAAAAAAAGAAAAGATTTCTTTGGTCCTGGGTAGCATTCTGTATCTAAACCAGTCAAATATAAACTTCATACTTAGATTAGATCGTAGGCTTGAGGTTAGGGGGGCACTATGTTGAAGATCCTGCTCTGAATCAGGTAAAACAAGCATTTGAGCTTTATGATGCCAACACACCATGCAAGAATCCTTCCTGATCACTGAGCTCTAAGTTATTCTGGACAGGCATCTCCCTCTCTTCCTGCAGAGCTGCTCCTTTTTGTATAGTTAAATATTTATTAGGTTGGGGAAAGAAGATGCATAAAGTGTGTCAAAGCAGTAAAGAAATCAGAGTAATTGATGAGCCATTAAAAACTACATTACTGTTTCCTTAGGCAATTGAAGTGAATCTAGTAGTGCTGGTAAAAGATGTAAAATGACTAATCTGCAAGTTGGGCTTCACCATTTGTATGACGAGCTGATTATGTCTTTTCACACTCCCTCCTCACTCTCTCCATACCATACCAGCATATTACAAACAGGACTGTCAGAAATGTTACCATACGTGATAAGCATGGCTTTCTTCTCTAATACTAACTTTTTAAGAGAAAGATGATATCCACTGTAGAGAAAGAAATAATGACCACATTAGTAACAGGTGTCATAATACCACCTTTAGCCATGAGACTCTAAGCCACACCTTCCTCCAATTTTAGAGGATAAAGATGCAATAGTTACTATGAATCAAGGAGAAAATAAGTATAAGAGCTTAAACACTGAGCTTCTTGTGAAATAGGATTAGCGCTAATGGATGAAGCTGTCTCTTCTCTGTCTAACAATTAGAAATGATCCTCCAAACACTCTGACTGTATAGCTCTGCCTGGGTGCTTGAAAGAGAGGGGAAGAAACAGAAGAACTCTGTTCTCCACAGGGTTTGGGTTTTGGTTTGGTTTTTTTTCAGATTCACAGGAGATTTTCCATGTACAAAAAACCCCTGCGTGAAGGTTCCTAAATCATTTTGGAAGTAGTCTCTGGGTGCTGGATATCACCTGGCATATCCACATGTCTCTAAGTACATTT